TTTGAGTCTTTGTGGAAGTACAATTTGAAATGAAAGTAGTGATAGTGCACTTTTGTCCTAGGTTTTAAAGGGACTGTATTAATATTCCCCCCACTGAAAATAATGTCTACTGTAATTTTCTGGTAAGAATTGTTGGGCTTTGTCTGTTTTCTGGTTTTATAATCATGAATAATTGTTGAATTTTGTGGAGTTCTTTTTGGCATAATTATAGGGTTTTTCTTTAATCTGCTAATGTGACAAATTGTATGTGTGTGTTTAAAGATTTTGAGCCACCCTTGCATTCCTATGAAAAACAAAATTTTCTAATTTAAATGTGAAGTTTTTAAATGTTTTGGCATAATGTTTATGATATTCTCTTTTCTTCTTAATGTCTGTAGCATCCATGGTATGTCTGCCTTTTTATTCCTTATATTGATTATTTGTGCCTTCTACTTTTGCTCAGTTTGTGTAGAGCTTTGACAGTTTTATTATCCTCTGTAAAGAACCAATTTTGCTTTTCTTAATTCTATTTATATTGTCTCTTTCATTAATTTCTGTTCTTTATTACATCATTTCTTTTACATTCTTTGGCCTTATTTTGCCCAATGATTGATCGTTAACATTTCTTCTTTTCTAATACATATATATAAACCTATATAAATTTCTCTTAATATATTATTTTTACTTGTATCCCAAAAGTCTTATTGTTTTCACTCTTTTTTATCAAGGTAATATGTACAGATGGTTTAAAAAGTCAAAAAATTATACAAGAATTATGGAAAAACAGTAAAGTGGCAGTACATGATTATTTCTGTAGATGCTGAGAAAGCTTCCTACAAAATTCAACATTGACTCCTTACTTTACAAAAAATAAAAGAAAATAGGAATGAATGGATACTTTTTTTTTTTTTTTTTTTTGGTGGCTAGCCAGTACAGGGATTGAACCCTGGATATTGGTGTTATCAGTACCACACTATAACTGACTGAGCCAGCTACAGATGGATAATTTTGTAAAGTTTTATATTGTGCTAAAATACACATAATATTTACTATCTTAACTATTTTTAAGTGTTCAGTTCAGTAGTGTTAAGTACATTAATATTGTGCAACCATCACCACCATTCATCTCCAGAACTCTTTTTTTTAATCTTCAAAACTGAAACTCTCTGGGGCCAGGCCATGGCTCACTTGGGAGAGTGTGGTGCTGATAACACCAAGGCCACGGGTTTGGATCCCTATATAGGGATGGCCGGTTAGCTCACTTGGGAGAGCTAACAACTCTGTTGTGGTGCTGACAACACCAAGTCAAGGGTTAAGATCCCCTTACTGGTCATCTTTTTTAAAAAAAACAAAAACAAAACTGAAACTCTATACCTACTAAAAAATAACTTTCCATTCTCCCTTGTCCCTATTCCCCTGGCAACCACCATTTTATTTTCTGTCTCTATGATTTTGACTACTATAGGTATCTCATATAAATGGAATTATACAGTATTTGTCCTTTCAACTGACTTATTTCACTTAGCATAATGTCCTGAAGGTTCATCCACATTGTAGCATGTCAGAATTTCCTTCCTTTTTATGGGTAAATAATATTCCCCTCTATGTATATGTTACATTTTGTTTATCCATACATCTGTCAGTAGATACTTGGGTTGCTTCCATGTTTTGGCTATTATTAATAATACTGCTATAAACATGGATGTACAAATATCTCTTTGAAACCTGCTTTCAGTTCTTTTGGGTTCTATTTTTAAATTTTTGAGGAATCACCATACTGTTTTCCACAGTGGCTGCACCATTTTACATTCCCATTACTAGTGCACTAGGGTTCCAATTTCTCCATATCCTCACTAAAACTTGTTATTTTCTGTTTTGCTTTTTATTATAGTAGTCATCTTAATGGGTGTGAGGTAGTATCTCGTTGTGGTTTTTATTTGCATTTTAATGATGTTGAGTATCTTTTCATGTGCTTATTGGCTATTTGTATAATCTTATAAGAAATGTTTATACAGGTCTTTTGCACAATTTTTTGTTTGTTTGTTTTGGTTTTGTTTTTGGTGGCCAGCTGGTCATGCCCATTTTTGAATTGGGATGTTTGTTTTGTTCATGTTGAGTTTTAAGAGTTCTCTGTATATTCTGGATATTAATCACTTATGAGATATATGATTTGCAAATATTTTCTTCCATTCTGTAGGCTGCCTTTTCACTCCATTAATAGCGTCCTTTCATGTACAAACTTTTTAATTTTCATGAAGTCCATTTTTTATCTATTTTTTTCTTTTGTTGCCTGTGCCTATGGTGTGATACCCCCCAAGAAATCTAAATCTTTTATTATAAAGCTCTTCCCCTGTGTTTTCTTCTAGTTTTGTAGCTTTTGCTCTCTTATGTTAGGTCTTTGGTCTATTGTGCTTAATGTGTACATATGCCTGTATATACAAGTACAAGTTGAGCATCCCTAATCTGAAATTCCAAAATGCAAAATACTTTAATATCTGAAATTTTTTGAGTGCTGATTTGATGTGCAAAGGCCATGCTCAAAGGAAATGTTCCTTGAAGCATTTTGGATTTCGGATTTTCGGATTAGTGATGCTTAACAGGTAAGTATAGCGCACATGATTTCAAAACAGCAAAAATCCAAAATCTGAAACACTTCTGTTGTTAAGGCATACTCAGTCTGTGTTTTGGAAGGTAAGGGTCCACCTTCATTCTTTTGGATGTCCAGTTTTCCCAGTACTATTTGTTGAAAGACTGTCCTTTTCTCACTGAATGGTTTTGCACCCTTGTCAAAAATTATTTGAACATACAAGGGTACTTCAAAAAGTTCCTGGAAAGATTTGTCATCTTTCAATTCTATTTTTCCATGAACTTTTTGAAGTATCTTCTTATATGTGAAAGTTTATTTTTAGGCTGTCTTTTCTGTTCTATTGGTCTGCATGTCTTTATGCCAATACCACACTGTTTTACTTACTGTAGCTTTGTAGCATCTGTTGAAATCAGGAAGTATGAGTCCCCCAACTTTTCCCTTTTTCAAGATTGTTTTGGCTGTTCAGGGTCCCTTGAAATTCTGTATGAATTTAAGGATGGATTTTTCTATTTCTGTGAAAAGCATTGTGTGATTTTGATAGGGATTGCACTGACTATGTAGATTGCTTTGGGTAGCATTGACATCTTAACAATATTGTCTTCCAATACATGAACATGGGGTATCTTTCCATTTACTTATGTTGTCTTTAATTTCTTTCAGCAGTGTTTTGTAGTTTTTATTGTGTAAGTCTCACTTCCTTGCTTAAGTTAATTCCTAAGTATTTTATGCTATTGTAAATGCAGTGTTTTAAAAATTTCCTTTTCAGATTGTTCATTGTTAGTGTTTAGAAATGCAACTGATTTTTGTGTATTGAAATTTTCTACATATAATGTCATTGGATGGATACTTTCTTAACATGGTACAATGTGTTATACCTTAATAAGTAAGTTTGCATCATATTTAATGGGGAAACAGTAGAGGCATTTCCACTAGAAGAGTTTATGTAACAATGGGACTGAAACAATGGGACTGTGTCTGGTGCCAGTTTTATTTAAGAGTGTCTTTGATGAAGCAGTAAAAATTATTAATGTTATTAAACCTCAATTCCTACAAGCTTTTCAATATTATGTCTTGCAAAAAGGGAAGAAATATAAAGTACTTCTGCACACTAAAATGGTATTCTCAAGGAAAAGCACTTGTGCTGTTATCTGAGCTTCAAGATGAATTAGCTGTTTTTTCATGAATAATATTTTTACTTGAAAGAGCAACTGAGTGGCAAACTGGTTTCTTGCAGAGATGGATGTTTGGCAGACCTTTTTCATCTTTTCACAGATGAATGAGTGACTCTGTCACTTCAGGAAAGACAGCTGAAAAAATTTGTTATCAATGATAAAATTCAAGCTTTTGAGTGAAAATGATCATTTCAGAACATTTGATCTGCCTCTGTGAGCTTGAAAGCTTTTCTATACCTAAAGACTTTTCTGGTAAGATTAGTTGGTGATATCAAAAAAAGGTAACAATAAAGAATGTGGTTTTTTTAAACACTGTATAATAAAACATTTGTAAGATCTGCATAAATTACTTAATATTTTCCAAGTAATACATTATGTTATAAAATTATGCATGGGTAAACCATCCATCCAACCTATAATACAGACTAATGGATTTTAATATAATAGTACAAATAGTTAATTGATGTGGTTTCAGAATATACAGTGCAACTTAAAATTTGTTTCAGTTTGTTTTTTTGTTGTTGTTTTGGTTTTTGGTTTTTGGCAGCTGGCTGGTGTGGGGATACAAATCCATTTGCCATATAATATTCATAGTGGGATTTTGCTCTGTGAGCTAAACGAAAAATCTTTTTCTTTTGATAAGTGAATTAAAGCCCATTCACATTTATTGAAATGACTGAACATTTGGTATAGTTTCTGTCATTTTACAGTTACTGTGTTACATTTGTGTATTTTTCCTCTCTAAAATGTGTTTTCTTTGCTCTTTATTAAATTTTACTTTATCTTATTTTTATTCTTTTTGTTCCTTTTCTGCCTTTGCCCAATAACTCATTATGTTTCCATTTAAATCTATTCTTTCTTGTAGTATAGTCTTCTTTTTTTTGTGGTGGCTGACCAGTACAGGGATCCAAACCCTTGATGGTGGTGTTATAACACTACTCTCTAACCAACTGAGCTAACCAGCCAGCCTTCATTTTTGATATTATTGTTTTTTCTTTTTCTTGTATTATTTCTGAGGTCTGCCCAGATTTGTTTTTTTATTTCCATTTTTTGTTCAGTTCTAGTCTTAGTTTTTGAATTTCAATTCAAAGTGTTCTTTCGTTTTCTCAAAGAGGGGTATTTAATTCAGTTTGAATTTTTGTATTACAGTTTTCTTCCGCTGCATGTTTTTTCCAGGGGGAGCGGGCAAGGAGGGAATACAGGCAGCTAAGATGGTAATTTTTACAAGCTGTTGTGTTTTTGTTCTCTGTTTTCTTCTGTAGCTTTGTATAGAAGAGTGCTTATCCCTATGCCTGTTCAAGACTGTTCAAGACTGGTGATTTGGAGTAGTTTACAAGAGTCCTCATTTAAAGCACCCCCTTGTCTCTTGTGATGAGGTGCATCTTCTCTAATGGATGGCTCAGAGGGATGGGATCTGGTGTGTAAGCGAAGGGGTTGGTCTTCACTGAGATGTTCCAACCATTGAAAAGGGAGAAGAGAATATGTGGCAGAGATGCTGGCTGGTGGGTATATGTTGTGGTAGTAAATTGTAGAAGACTTTTCTGATGTTTGAGTTTTCTCAATAAAATAAGAAGCAAGGGTAGGCTGAGTGAAGATGGGTGAAAAGGTATAGGAGGTTTGAGGAGAGAAAACTGCTATGAAGACATTGGGGTGATAGATGGACTTTAAAAGCAGAGTTAGATCTCTTCCTGTCATTCAGTACTTTCATAACATTTTTAGTGGTTGCTCACAATTCCATTTTATGTCTTAAAATAAATATGGTTCTATGACTTTTGAAAAATAGTTTTATGTTATTGGTCATCTAAGTTGTTTCCAGCTTCTTACTATTATAAAGTAGAGCAATATCTTTTGATATACTGTTTCTAAACTTGGAATTCTTAACTTTTCTGTTGTTAAAGTATAAGAATATTTATCTTTCTCATTGGTTCATAAACTAGTCAGATTCTACACTTATGTAAAATATAAATTTTAGGAGAGTGATGTGTCTTTAATACAATATTCAAATACAGAATTTTCTAGGTACAAACAATAATGAGATTCTAAATATGCACTTTTACATAGTAGTACTGATTATTATTAGACAAATTCTGTGAAACTGAAACTATCACAATATGTTGTTTTATTGCTAGTAAAAGTAACAGCATCACTAAGTTGCTATACGTATTGAGTACACCAAAGCTAGTGACACTTCTTAGCAAAGTCCTATTTGAAAATATGAGTCAAAGTTATTTTGGTAGTAACCTAATCCTGCTAAATCAAGAAAGGGAACTGCATATACTCCAAGCAAAAGTTTATCAGACTTTTTTTCCTAAGAAAAGAGGAAACAGGTTAGATCCTGGGCCCTTAGAAGCAAAAGACTGTGAGCTGAGAGTGAGTCATCTCTCAGTGCCCTGTTGCTGTCTGCGAGGTTGGATGCTCCACTCCCAGCTGTGGCTAGGGGGAGGGCAAGGCAGCTCACTAGAAGCTGCTTAGAGGAAATCACAGAGGAGAGATGCTGAGTTGGCACTTTAAAGGGTCTGTTCAAAAACATTTAACAATTTAATGAAATTGTGCAAGGGAGAGGTTATATTACCCATAGAATAGATATTTCTTTAGAGATCATATATAACTAAGGAATTCAAGATCCTGTCGTAGCTCACACTTGAAAGTAAATTTTATGACAAACCTGTACGTAAGCTAACATTGGCCAACATGAACAATAAGCTCATCTTAGTGCACACTTACCATGTGCCAAGTACTGTGCTATTTTATTTTACACTGTTTAACTTTCTTATTTAAGCCTCCTAACAACCTTGTGAGGTAGATAATGTGATCCACTGCATAGAAAGGGAATAAATAGGATCATTTACTTTTTTTTTATTTTCATGAGCCCTGTAAATACTTATAATTAGTCTTATATGGCAGTCTAACAATTTATTTCCTAATATTACCTCATTATAGTTTAATACTTCTGAAGTAAAAATGTTTATATGTAAAGTGTATGTATAAGAGAAAAAAACAATTCATATATTCCCAAGGCAGTAAACTTAAAAGACCATGCAGAAGTTTGAGGGACATAGAAGTCAAATACAGAAGTTTAAAAATCTCGTATTTTACAGCTGATTTATTTTGAGGAGAGGAGCATATCTATGTCAGTGAAATCTCTTAACGTGTTATTCTCTTGAATGTGCCCTGTGCACCTAAAGCAGCCATTAGCTGTGGGTCTCTCGTACCTGGGTTATTGCAGCACCTTCCACTAATCACCTGCCTCCATTCTTTACTTTCTTCTCTACAGTTTCCTCATTTAGAGCAGATTTCCCAGTGCACTACTTCAGCCGCATCTACACTGTATAGTAGCCCAAATCAAGATCCATTTGTCATCCTGATTTTCAAAGTGCTCTGTAGTCTGGCCATCTCAGGTATACCAAGCTTTTAGCTCCTACTTCCCTCTGCTCCCTCTGCCTCCCCTTTGTTTCCTCCTGTGAGGTAAATCTCACTGACCTTTTATGCAGCTCCAAGCAAGTACATGTATAATAAAACCATAGTGAGTTTAAAAAACTCAGACCAGGGGAAATGTAGGTAAGAAAGTTGTATGGGATGGGGCCGGCCCGGTGGCGCATTGCTACAGTGCGCCGCTTGGGAGCGTGGCGGCGCTCCCGCTGAGGGTTCGGATCCCACATACAGACCGGTTCCCGCTCACTGGCTGAGCGAGGTGCGGGCGCGACACTGAGGGTTGCGATCCCGTTGCCGGTCCCGGTCCGGGCGCGACACTGAGGGTTGCGATCGTTGCCAGACACGAAAAAAGACAAAAAAAAAAAAAAAAAGAAAGTTGTATGGGAAAAGCCGTACATGGATTTACATGTCATTTGGCCAGCATGCTTATTATGGCTATATGAAACTTATCTCTGATCTTTTTTGGAGCAAAACAGAAAGAATGAAGTAATCAGCTACTTAGCCTCTCATTTTCAGAAAGGAGGTGGGATACAAAACCTCTGCTAATAATAATTTCATAAAAGCAGTTCTTATGTGGGTCCTCATTATGGAAATCACTGAAGAGAATAGACAAAACTCTCATTTCTAAAATTCTGTGTGAAAAGTTTTCTTATGCCTCTTTTTTGTGGTTGGTTACCAAAAGCCACATGACAATAAGACTTTGTCAGTTGGTAAGACAATATAGGTCAAGTACATAATTTTTTGGTTTTTTGACCTAATCCAATTATAGAATTTAAGGAATTAAGACCAAAGATGTTGAAAGATTGTCCCTTATCTTCTTATTGTTCCTGACTTCCAGCATAATTGTCTCAGTTCACTGACTAGTTTCTGATAAGCGTAACAATTGGGGGGTTACATTCAAAGATTTCTTCTGAGCTTGTTGCTTGTTGAGGTCAAAGGTGATTTGGTGATGTGGCCTAAAGAGTATGGGGCTCCTACTGTCAATTAGAAGCACAAATACCACATTTGGGTTTTGGTGAGATCAGAATATCTCAGTTTAAGCATTTGCATAGTAATAGTTATAGTAATAATAAAAGTGGAAACCATGTCTGTAAGAAGGCATTACCTGCACTGGGTCTCCATAGCTTATGTTGTTAGTTGTGTACCATTATATATGTTTGCTCCCCTTCCTAATGGAATTTCAGTTTTGGCTAGGTTCCGCATCCCCCTCTGTGGAATCATCTGTGCTTTATGGATGGTGCGCCCTGGTCCCAGCCCTAAGGGTTGTATCAATAGGAGTCTAAAGCTATGGTTCTCAACCTTGGCCTCACATTGGAATCACCTGGGAGGCTTTTTTTTCAAAAATACTCATCCCTTGATCCCATCCCAGAAATTGTTGATTTTTTTTGGTTTTGTTTCGCCTTTGGTGTAGACATGAGATTTTCAGTAGCTCCCAGCTTGTTCTGAGATGTAGCCAAGGTTGAAAACCACTGGTCTCAGCAAATAATGGAAGTGTCATTTTTCTTGTCAGTAGTTGATTTAAGCTTGAAATATGAGTACATGCCCTCTGGTATACTTCTGGGAAAGCTACCTTTCCTCTTGAGAGACATAAGGAAGAGGCTGGACATTTCCGAGTCTAAATATAACCTGGAACTGTGATGCAGCTGACTTAAGACCCCATTGGGAGCTAGCTAACCAGCTGAAGATGACGGGAGAGAGTTGCAAAGAAGATGGGTCCTTGATCACAACTGAGCCATGGAATTAACCAACCTTAGAGAGGAGGTACCCAGCCTTCAGATTTTATGTCATGCCACTTGAAATAGTATTATCTTCTTTACTGTTTATGCCATTTTGATTTGGGTTCTCTGCTACCTGCAGTCAAAGGCAAACTAAAATAAAAGTGAACCAAGAATCAAACCTACACTTTTCTATCCATAGTCCTTATTACTCCCCCTCACCAAACTCTTAAGAAACAGGTATAAGAAAGTGTTGTGCACTGAATGTTTGTGTCCCCTCCCCACCCCCAATTTCCATGTTGAAATCCTCACCCCCATGTGGTGGTACTAAGGAGTGGGGCCTTTGGGAGGTGATTAGGTCATGAGGGTGGAGCACTCATGAATGGATTAGTGCCCTTATAAAACAGGCCCCAGGGAGCTTGCTCTCCTTTTCATCATGTGAGGACACAGCAAGAAGATGGCTGACTGTGAACCAGGAAGCAGACCCTCACCAGACACATGAATCTGCCAGCCTGCCCTCACTCAGACACCCTGTGCCAGGCTGCCACCATCACCACTCCCACCTCAACATTTCTCATTCCACTTGGGGCTCCAGCTCCACCTCCAATGGATGCTGTCTTTGTCCTGCTTTCCCCTCAGCCTCCAACACCCTAGGCCAGACTGACCTCCTGCGCAGATGTCTTCTTCATCCTCTTTCAGCTCTGATACCCTCTTCTGAGCCACTCTTCTATGCAGATGCCTTCCTCACTCTGCCTGGGCTCTAACACTCTTGTCAGGCTGCCTGCCATTCTGTGGGGACACCCCTGCTCACCATCTGAGGTTCCTGCACCCTGGTCAGATTGCTACCTTCCTTTTGTGACTTGATTTTTGGTCTAAGTCCACCATCCTTGCCCTGCTCAGGCTCTGATGATTCAACACACTTGATTACCCTCTTAACATAGTCAGGTTCTGACACCCTGCTCAGGACCACTGTGTCCCTGTCTCCCCTTCCTTGCTCTTGGGACACCCAGATTCCTGGGCCTATTAAATTAATTTTTCACTCCTTAAGTTTATGGTACATTTCTTTATATGTATAATTTCCAGAGTAATTCACCAAATAAATGATTGAGCAGAGATTTGAGTCCAAGT